CCAATGAAGCCATTTGATCCTGATCCAATCCCCTGCAGCCAGTGAGGGGGTCCGCACTCGGTGCGTGGCATCAAACCTGTCTTTCATCCCGGCCTGCAACCCTTCACCTGAGCTCTGGCTTTCTGGAGCTCTGGGCTCTCACATGCAGGGGCTGGCTCAGCTCTCAAACAGTCCAGGGGTTGCTTCAGTTCGCGCCCGATCATTAACACTGCTGGTGAAACTCCTGTGGTGGAATGCTTGGATGCCCGGATGGTCTGGAGGGTTTGGTTGAGAACGTCGCTGAAGGTTCTCCTTTCCTCCAGACAGGCTCTGATTCCATTTTTGAGAGTTTTATTGAGTCGTTCCACACCACCATTGCTCTCTGGGTGATACACTGCTGTCCTGATGTGCCTGATGGGCCGTAGTGTGAGGAACTCTGTGAACTCTGCTGAGGTGAACTGGGCCCCATTATTCGTTGTAACAACACTGGGAAGGCCCCAGCATCCAAACAGATTGCCCAGGCAGTCTATGATGGTGTGTGCAGTGATGGAGCTCAGTTGGCAAACCTCAGGCCACTTCGAGTGAAGATCATGAATAACCAGCAAGTAGCGAGCATGAGCAGGTGCCCCATGAAATAATTTTACTGTCCTTTAAACTTTTAACTTTTTTATTTATAAAATAATGGGGTTTTTTTGGAAAACGTTATTGGGAAAAAGGTACTTGTATGCATATTACACACATTATATGTAAAAACCCAGGTTAGTACATAGTTAGCTTAGGTTTGTAATAAAAACTGGCTCTTGTTTTTTAATCAGGGCCCTCTTGTGTAACTCCTGCTACAGTGTTTCAAATACCAGCAGAAAAGATGCAGACCCTGATAGGTACTATGTGTTTAAGTTACTGATTGAACTCTCATTTCTATTCTCCTAGTCCTGCCTTTGTCTTTTCACCTGAGATGCATTTAGTTGACGTGCAGTGCACATGGTGCACATCTAAGAAGCAGCGCAGCCCCAATGCTGTGCAGACTTTTCTCAGGGCACCTATGAGAGCATTACAACATTCAGATTCCACCTGAGTCCAGCTCATTCTGCTAAGACCTGAAACAAATGCAAGAAGGGGCAGCAGTCAGAGCCTCCTCCTCCTCCTCCTCTTCCTCGGCGCATTTTGAATTCTGGATGAGTCATTTGCCAGCTTTCACTTGGGAGATGTGGTGGGAGCTTCCTGTTCATGTGGAGACACATAACTGGGGACAGGATTAAAGACGTTTTGATGTCATCATTTGTCTCTTCAGTATATTGTGGCTGACTTGCTAAAAACTCATCCTCAGAGGACATCTGGCTTCATTAACAACAGATCTGATGAATGAGCTGACCAGCTCTTGATTAGAGATAGCTGGAGAACAATTTCAAACCCTGTCATTAATATATTTGTTGAATTATCTCTCCTGGAATCATATCCTGTCTCATTTCTGACTATTTTGACTGTTAAATAGATAATTAGTCCTAAATTTAATGTTTAAATTTTAACATGAACTATAGTTCATATTAGTGGTCACATTAGGGGACAAAGCAGCAAAGTTATTTTATTTTTATTTATTTATTTTACAATCAAAGTTCATGATTTTGCAGCCAAAACTATTTTAAAATCTGACTTTATCTAAAGTTGTTGTTTGTCACCTTTGTATCATCTATCTATCTATCTATCTATCTATCTATCTATCTATCTATCTATC